GTAATGCTGGGTAATTGGCAAAAAGGAAAAGGAAATCTTGGCACACAAGAGTCGAAGCCACAGCGAGAGGCCAAGTCAAAGTCAAAAGCAGCTGCCTACAAAAAATGGCGTCAAAGCTATTTGCAGGAGCCGAAAAGTAGGCAATGCAATTATCATAACCATTATGGGGAGAACTACAAGAAGAAGAAGACGATAGGAAAGTATATCGTTAATAGAGACATAGATACGTTTTAAGGTACAAAGAGAGAGAGAGAGAAAACGAGCACGAGCCAAGGGATGGAAATAGCAAAAGGATTTTAAATAGAAATTGGGTAATAAAAGAAAGATATATAGATATGTTTAAAGAAGGAAAGGCAAACGCGTAAACACGCGATGATGTGCTCTCAGCCACATATACATAAATATAGAAAACGATAGATATATACAGCACAAACTGAGCGTAGTTATGGAATGAAGCTAAAAAGTTAACAAATTTCAAATCGAACTTAAGGCTGTTAACAATGTAATCGATATATATCGATACATAGTAAAATGAACAAAACTCGAAGACTTCAGAAGCTAGAGACATAGAAGCTACTATCTGAGTTTTTGTTGAGATATACGCGATATCCTTTTTTATACCCTGATCCCATTAAAAATGGGAAATCAGGGTATGCGTGTGCACACATACATTCAAATGCGTGTATTCTTTTCTATTCCAAGAATTGAAATTGCAATTGAATTGTGCTGAATATTAGCTGCTACTTATGTTCAAATTTGCAACAACTCGCGTAAAGAGGGAACTGGCTGCGTTGGTAGAGGCGCCGCTCGTATGCAGCTTGGTCCGGGTTCGAGACCAGTGGAGATGAGACGGTTTTTATTGTTTTATTTTTTTTTAGTTATGAAGTGGCGGTGTTGGTAGAGTTTGTGCACGTTGCGCAAATAATCCGGGTTCGAAACCTGGTCTCACAATGTCGATTTTTATTTGTTTTCTTTTTTTTTAATACTCGATACGGAAAATATTAAAAAACTCAAAGGACTGGGATCAGGGTATCTCCTAGTCGGGCACCCCGACTAGAGCGTTTTTACTTGTTATCTTACGTAGAGTTAACCCTAGTTCTTAGTATATATAGAGTTTTTAACACAGGTCTATATAAAATACAAACAGAAGTATAGTTAAAGGCTTAAGAATATGATTTTCTCTAGCCTAGCATCTTGATTCGACAGTTTCTTAAGTATAGCTCAAACACTTCAGAAGCTAGAGTTATGAAATTCGGTACATAAATAGTCTTTTAGTGCATTAACAATAAAAAATGTTATTTTTTTGAAAAGCTAGAATAGAATGGAATTGTATATAATATATATATGTAGGAATAGGGAAAAAATAAGAACTAAAATTTTGCATAACTCGATTGCTTTCGGAATTAGATATGTCCATTGTAATCTGGTAGCTATTTAATAAAAAGCATGAACTTTCCTGATGACTTAAGCCCGTCTACTCCAATCTCATAGAAGCCAGAGCCCACTTCAGCTGTCACCTGTCACTCAAGCACATTCAGCTATGCGGAGCACGTTCAGTTCAACGCCAAAACAATGCAATGCAATTAACAATTATGTGAGACATTATATGATAGCTATAGAATTAATTTTGTGGGTAGCATTGTTAAAGCGAAGCTCTGGATCTTATCATCAATCAGCAGCTGTTGCTGCGCTGTTGCTGTTGCTGTGTCCTCATCAAATGCGCTGTTTAAATGAATTATGCGCTGTTAAATGGATTTCAGGGCGAGGCAATATCATAAATGCAGCATCGATTGCCATGTAATTGTCATAATTAACTGCCACACAGAGTGAGCGAGAGAGCGACAGAGGGAGAGCGGGAGAAGGGAACGTGTGCACAAGATAAAACGGCTTACGCAGCGTATACGCAATATTTGCTTAAGCCTTGCTTGTTTGGCTCATATTAAGCAATTTACTTCGATGCGCACGGGAGGACTGGGCGGTACGCATATAAATTTAATTATTTTTCAATCAACAAACATCAGAGCTCCGTCCCCGCGTCTCGAAGTTTCGTCTCATTTGTGTATTTAGTTTTGCGCTCGGCACGTCCAAAAATTTAATGACTGCTTTGTGCCGTAGCGCTGCAGGTGTCGTCCCAGCTACGCTCCAGGCAGGCAACCAACGCCCAACCGCCCACATTTTTCCATTCTCTTGCTGAGCAACTGAGTAACTGCTGCATTTTCTTTTCGTCAAGCAACAAAACTTTGGCTCACTTTTAGCACCCATAACCCAGTTTTTGTGCCATGCTCTTGCTGACATTTTAATTAAATCCCTAAACGAGAGGAATCACTTTCTCTCTCTCTCTGCCCGTCTCTGCCTGTTTGCTGTTTCACATGTGGCTGCAGTTGCCCAGGAAACGCACTGACATTGGCCCCAATTCTCGCATACAACTCAATCGGCAGCTGCTGCTCCATCTCTGGCGCCACCTGCAGCACCTCTTGAACAGCCGAAAATCTCATCTCATATGATCTCTGGCGCACATATACACACACACGGGCACTCGGCATTCAAGTGCATTGCTACTTGAGACTTTCTCTCGCGCTTAAGCGTCTCCCAAACAAGTTGTCACTGGTTCGAATCCCGTTGGTAGGAAAATAAAATAAAACGAAGTGCCCAAGGCTAATGTTTAATCAATAACGTAGCGCGAGGAATAACAAATAGAAGGTTAGAATTAAGCCTCGAAGAGTATAAGAAAAGCTTGGATAAAGTGTCACGGGTTCGAAGCCCAATGGGAATTGTATGGCCTTTGACTAATGTTTCTTCAATCCAGCGAGTTCGAAGCCATTGCAAAGACTGTGACTAACACTGTATCAATTCGGAAGGCGAAGCATTTAGATACTTTTTCCGATTCAATTTAAAAAAAATATGCCAAATCGAATCACGATTCAAATTAGATCAAGCTATGAATGAGAAATGCACTCAAATGCACTCTGCTCTGGATAAAGTGACTCCCTTTAAGGATTTGACTGTGTTTGAGTAATAACTTAACACGGGTTCGAATCAAAATTCACAATGTACACGATTAGTCTAAATTTTACTGATGCCAATAGACTGTTCAAGAAACCTTTCAAGGCTCGCAATGTCCCCTTTGAACTCTGGTGCACTTATCATTTTTGTGTTAGTGAGCAGTACGATATACAATGGGATTGGAGCCTTGAGCTCCTTAGCCTTCAACTACTAATCTATAGACAAATAAGAAGCACCAAAAAAAATTGTTTTATTCATTCGTTGTTTTTAACAAACGCCTCGCCTTACGTATTCTCAAATCCGCAGATGATAATTGAATAGATAAGTTCAGCATATGAAATTATTATGATATTATTAATGACACTCATAAGAACAGTCAGATAACTAGCTAAATAATAAATATGACTGCTCAGACAAGGGTTTCGCATTTCCTCTGCCCCAGTCTCCACAACCACAAAGATTTCTATCTGGCGAAGCAAAAAAGGAAGAAGTGGAGGAGACAGCCTTTTCCGATATACTCGCCTCAGCTCGTAGTGGCATTATTCATGGAGGCACTTTTGAAATGTTTATTTATTGGCAGCACCAATCGAGCTCCCACGTCAAAAAAATGCTTTTGGCTTCCCGCTCGTTCGCCCCTCGCCCCATCTATGACCACGTGAAAAGAGTTGTCAGTTTCAGTTTGAGTTTCAGTTTTTGAGTTCGAGTCGGAGAACCCTAACAAATATTGTTATCGAAACAAGTCCAAAGAAGCAAACGTCTTATTGTTTGCCTTTTTGAAAATTTCATGCATTTCAAATGAGTGCGAATAGCACGTGGGGTATATTGGATTTATGAGCTTGCTGGTAAAAAGCAGACTTTTGCTCTAAATACTTGCATTTAGATACTATCATATTGATTTTTACTGCGGACTCATCGATAACTCGATAATTTTGTACTATAGATAAATATCGATGTTGCCATATGTTAAGAGTCAGTTCATCTATTCTCTCTTCTCAATGCTGTCTTCATCTCTTTCCTTTTTGTTGTCTCTTCTTTCTTCCATCTTCCATCTTCCCCCTTCTCTTGCCTCTCTTCTATTTTCTCTCTCTCTTTTCCCTCTACTCTCTACTCTCTTCTATCTACCTTCTCTCATTTGATTTCTGTTTACTGAGCATCTGCTCATCGAGCATTCCCGACTTGTTCAGGCTAACTTTTCTATTTCATCATCATCAGAGTAATCATAATGTTACTCAGCTACCCACTGTGCCCATTGTCCTGCCTTAGCAGCCGCTCCTCCTGTTTCGACTGCTTTGCAGGTTATGTGTAGACTTCTTGTTCTTTGGCCACTGCCAACTGCTTCTTCCACTTCATCTCTCGCACATTATTGTTGTTGGCCTACATACGTTTGGCATATCGTTAACGTTGTTTTGGCTTCGTCTATGCGTCTAGCTGTCTACCACGCCTCTGCCACAGCAACAGCCCGCCCCTGCGCGCCGCACCGCCCTTTAACCCATTTGGCCAAGAATCCATCCCGCTGCGTAGCGCGTTTGTCTGTGCTTATGAGCACATCAATTTCTTGTCTCCATCCAAAACCTCACAGGCCCCGCCCATGCCTCGCCCTAGACTCCCATTTGGTTTCGTGCTGACTTGGTGTCGCCTCTTGGCACAATGAACCAGGGCTACGCAGTCTTTCATTTGATAGTCTTGAGAGATCGGGAAAGAGGCGAAGTGAGAAGAATCGAGAAGATGGGAGAAAGAACATAGACGATGGGAGAAGGGAGCACAGGCAAGAGAAGAGAAATATGAGACGACAGAGAGGAAGATGAAGAGGGCGGACAAAGAGAGAGAGAGAGAGAGAGAGAGAGAGAGAGAGAGAGAGAGAGAAGGAGTCCCTACAGAACAGTCTATGACTTCCTATACGACCGAAGAGCAGGCTATGAATATTCATATTCATCTCATATCGATATGAGGCTCCGAAGGCACATTTATTGCTCAAATAGTGCTGAGCTCTCTAACGATAAACATATATTTTATAGTCGACAAGAGCTTTTGAATAAAAGTACAAAATTTATATATTTTACGGATTTTCTTAAAATAATTGTTTATAAACGTTGGCCTCCAGAAAAGATGGGAACGATATTAAGTGTTTTAAATAGGCCTGTTGACAATGTCGGCTGCTACCGGGCGGCGAAGCGTAGTTTGAGCGAAGTTATCCCGGAATCTGACGAAGAATCTGAAGGGCTAGAGGTATGCGATGTGGACACTGATCCCATATGGATAGATGATGTTCTAGAAGACGAGGACGACGAGGAGGAGGCGCAGGCTGAGGAGGAAGAGGAGGAGGAGGAGGAGGATGAGGTGGCTGTCCCGATAGGAACGGGTGAAAAACAAGTTATTGCTGAATCGGTAACTGAAATTATTAGCTTTAATATGCCAGACATTTTCATAAATGGAAACTCTACCACGCAGCCGATGCGTGGGTCCACCTGGTGGCGCGTCTTCATGGGTCTAGTGAGACGTTCGAATAAATTCAAGAACAGTGCAACCACTGCAACCATTGATCCCACCAAGGTGTGCCAGCAGCTAAAAGCAAAGGCCAAAGCTGCAGCCAAGGCTCGCCCGAAACGTCTTGCGCGCAACACGCCTCGCGGAGCCAGAGAGCGGGAGAAGGAGAAGGAAAGGCGTACGGATCAAGCGATCGAGAAGGGGATCGAAACGGCTATAGAAAGAGAAAAGGAATTGGAAAGGGAAAGAGAAAGGCAGAAAGAAATCGAAAAGGAGAGACAAAAGGCGAGGGAAAGGGAGCAAGAGAAGCATATTGATCATCCTCGATCGAGCTCTCCAATATTCCCAGTTCATCTATGTGACCCAAGCAGCAGCAGCAACAAAAGCAAGAGCAACAAAAGTAACAAGAGCAACAGCATTAAAACCAACAGCAGCAACAAAAAGAAGGGCAGGAAGACCATCGGCAAAAACACCAGCAAGAAAAGCATCGGCAAGCACACTAACAGCAACATTAGCGACACTAACAGTAGTAACATTAGCAACATTACAAACAGTAACTTTAGCAATATCACCAACATTAGTAATTTAAGTAACATCAGCAACATTAACGGGAGCAACAACAGTAACAACACAAACAACAGTAACAACAGTAACAGTAGCAACATAAGTAACACCAGCATCACTAGAAACAACATAAACAACACAGACGACGAACAAACTACATTCATCAAATCGATTACGAAAACCGCGAGGCAATCCAGGAAGGGTGGTGCCCGTGCAGTGACGAAGGCCTCTCAGAAAGCCAAAGACAGTCGCATCCGTAAAAGGCCAAAGAAGACTATGCCCAGCTGCAAGAGACAGATGAAACAAGTTGGAAAAGCTCAACTCAAGCCAAAGAAAAAGCAGAAGCAGAAGTAACAAACATTTAAGAATCCCTTGGACATCCCTTGAGTATTAGCTAACATCAAAATTTGAAATTTTACTTTGTTAAATTGTTTAAATTGAGTATGCCTATTCCTTGTATCCAGCAAGACGATGATAGGTGAAGTAAATACTAAAAAAATGTAAAAGAAATTGGAAGCAAAAGTAAAAAAATTATAAATGGAAATAAAATAAAAATAATACAAATATTTCCAGCAATATATATTATAATAAATAAGTTTTTTTTAATGAAATCAAAAAATAGAAAACTTAAAAAATCGAAATATAAATAAATTTATAACAAAAAATAAAAGAAATATATATATTAAATAAATAAAAATGTATTTAAAAGCATAAAAATATATCAAATATTTTAGACTTAAAAAATATACCGAAAAATATAATTGCGCTTCCCGAGCACTAAACGAGAATTGAGCTACATTTAGCAGACAAAGCAAATACACACCCACACATACACACGCAGATTAATTATGGCTTGTTGTGCAGCCCTCGCAGCAGTCGCAGACATTTTGGCTTCAATCAAAACTCACGCAGCGCTGCTCGCAGCGGCGGCGCACAGTGCGTATGCGTATGTTAGCGCAATTTATATTGCTTTCAGCATGTGTGTGCATGTGTGTGCATGCGTGTGCGTACTCGTACTCTTATTGGTTAGCTGCTGTTTGACTTAGCTTGACTGCCCAAAAGCGGGCGTCGCTGTGCGAGTGAACTCTGCGCTCTTGGCAGTTTGGCCGTTTGGCCATTTGGCCACTTCGCTGGGTGTTTGCCTTGTCTGTGGGTTTGTTTGCTTGGTTTTCGTTACACAGCCCAAAACACCTACTGCAACTCAAACTCAACTCTTCAGCTTCTGCTGCTGCTTTCTTTTACGGCCAATGTCAAGACAGGGCTGCAAATCAATCGGTGACAGGGCAAGCCGTTTTTAGTTGTACGTGGCGTATGCGTAATATTGAAACGGCTCAAACTTTGTTTGCTGCCGCCGTGCGGACTGATGATGCCCATAATAATGACGTTCGACTGTAATTTGCCACTCGTTGCTGTTGCTGTTGCTGTTGTTGCCATCAAATTTACGACTATAAGTTTTTGCGACCCACCTCAACCGGCTCCAGGCTCAATATAAAAGTTGCCCTCAACCACATTTAAGTGCAAATATTTGCTAGCTTAAAGTTTTTAATTTGATTTCGTTTTGGCAACCGCAAGCTCTGGAGAACCTTTGCCAGCCAGCAGCGGCGAGGACGAGGCCGATGGCAAGGAGGGGCACAGCACGACGACGACAACGACGCCTTTGCAATTATTAGCCACAAAAATGTATTTGCTAATTTTGCACAAAATTGATAATAATTGCATAATTTGCATACACTGCACGAAATATCCAAGACCTCAAGCTGCTGAATATTTTTGGCCGAGCGGGCCCAGCCCAGACTGAGCCGGGCTGTATTAACCACATGGAAATTAGGCATGTGGTTTTATGCGTTTCGTGTCACAGCACATACAGACCAACATACCCACACACTCATAGATACATACCACATACACACACCCACACACCCACACACACACACAACTGCTTCGGAACTAGTGCAAATTCAGCAAAACTCAGCTACTTGGCCATAACAATTGCCCAAAGAGAAGCCTCAAAAGGGTATCTACAATGAAAGTCTATATATCTATAATATATATATATATATATATATATATATATATATATATATGTATGTATGCATATATATGTGTATATGTATGTGTGTGCTGGAAGCCATTGGCTCTCCACATTTTTGATTTGCGATGCGGCACACGTTTCATTTTTATTGACCAAAGTTGGGGTCGCGTTTATTGCCGCATAATTGAGTAAATATTATGAATGAAACTGATAATCTGCAGCCATTTACCATTTCGATTTCCACATCTTATACACACACAGGCACACAGTCACACATAGTTGATTGACAATGCAAAATGGCTACATGCTGTGCATGCCGAGCGTAGTCCAGCCGATGTGGGGCAAAAAGCAGAAGTAGAAGAAGCAGACACTGTGTGTAGTCAACAAATCAAGTGATGAAAACATTTATTCAACTTCGCATCCATCTTCAATATTCTCTATGTGCCAGAAGTACTTTAGCTATGATATGCGAAAAGTCTAGCGCTAGGCATTGTGGCACAGTCGGACTTTGAATACTTCGATTAGTTCTGCTATTGGCAATCCGATTGGAAATTGATTGATTGACTGAGTACTTATTGATTGAAAGACAGTCTATTGCCTGGTTCATTGAATGACTAACTGAAAGAGTGGTTTACTGATGAGCTGACTTCTAGACGGACTGATTGATTGGCAGAGTGACATAGAGCAATTGATTGACAGACACAGGCTGATTGATTGATTGACAGAGAAACATAGGGTACTTGACTGATTGACTGATTCATTGGTTGATAGACTGATTGGTTGATAGACTGAAATAGAATAATTGATTGACGGACTGATTGATTGATATAGATTGATTGATTGTTAGACTGATTGATTGATTGTTAGACTGATTGGTTGATAGAGTAACATAGAGTGATTGATTAACAGACTGATTGATTGATTGACAGATAGACACACACTGATTGATTGGTGAAGTAATATAGACTGATTGATTGATGGAGTATCATCGAGTAATTGATTGACAGACTGAAGGATTGACAGACAGACACAGACTGATTGATGGATGGACTGACATAATTAATTGATAGACTGATTGACAGGCAGCTTCATTCACAGACTGGCTAATTGACAGAGTGGCATACTCTGATTGATTGTCTAGCTGATTGATTAACAGACGAACTGAATAATTTATAGACTGATTGACACACGGAAGTAATCTGATTGATTAACACACAGATTGACTGAGTGGTAGATTGGCATACTGCCTGATTGATTGACTTGCTAACTGATTGATGCAGCATTCCACTCATTTTCCTCTATGCTAAGGCGATTTGAATAACTGCAAATATCTTCAGCATTTGGCAAAGTATCTATGACATGGTCGCTGGCACAGTTTGTTTGCCGCACGTTCAGCTTAGTGGGTGAACACTGTAGAAGTGACTAGGAGCAGCTGTGAATATTTTGGCTATTGTTTAGTCAAAGACGTGTCCGTTTCCGCGGCTTGTGGCTGATGGCATCAGATGGTACAAAATGCTGGGCGTAGGCTGTTTCGCGTGTGTCTGTGTGTGTGTGAGGGTGTGTGCGTGTTAACAAAACAATGATGATTGAAATGCAGCGTGTGGAATGTGTTGGCAAGCCAAATGCGCCAATTTACAGGCAGCACACGCACCGGTGAACATAGCTAAACACAGAGCCGCACCCCGACATGGAGATGGAGATGGAAATTGAGTTGGAGCTGGGGTTGGAGACAGAGACTTGACCGGAAGTGCCGACTCAATGGCCGATTGGAGGGCGTTGGAGGCACATGTTATCATAAGGGCGTGGCAGATTTCGAGAAATGCGTGAATTATTAACTGGCATTCGCCAGGCAACGATCTCACCCTCGCCCTCGCCCTCGCCGTCGTTCTCGTTCTCGCTCTCGAATTAGCCCGGCAATCAAATTATGCAGACACTTGACACGGTGCCACTGAAGGAAACAGAGGGTCGGCGAGCGACATTCTGGTGTCAGATACGCCCCAAAATGCCAACAACTATTTTGCACCCACTTGAAGACGCGCCGTGGGAAAGCAGCAAATGAGCCGAAATGCCAAAAATTTTCAAGCAAAGCCAAGTCAAGCCACGACAAGGCAAATGAAAGCAGGCAGCAGGCAGTTGATGCTCTCCCTTAAACATACTTATCAAAGCAACTTTTGATTCGGCATGCAAATGGCAGAGGCGAAACGCTCCAGCAAAGAGCAAAGCAAGCAGCAATAACTAAAAGACAAGAGTGCGATAAAAATTGTGCGGGCGGCGAAGCCAGAGGCCTGCAGCTTCAAGCCTCAAGAGCAACGAACCGGGCTGGGCAGTTGCTTGTGGTAAGAATAATATTTGCCAGATACTTTGTTTAGTGACTCCCCACAGTTCCTGAGCATTATGCAAAAGAAACAAGAATCAATTTCTAGGAAATTCTTTAAATTTGAACACAAATTATTGTCACAGGAACAGAATCTTAAAGGAAGCTGGCCACGAAAAGATGCAGACACAAATAAAAGATAGAAATAAAATACAGATACAGATACAGATAAAGATACAGATAAAGATACAGATAAAGATACAGATATAGATACAGATACAGATACAGATACAGATACAGATACAGATACAGATACAGATACAGATACAGATACAGATACAGATACAGATACAGATACAGATACAGATACAGATACAGATACAGATACAGATACAGATACAGATACAGATACAGATACAGATAAAGATACAGATAAAGATAAAGATACAGATACAGATACAGATACAGATACAGATACAGATACAGATACAGATACAGATACAGATACAGATACAGATACAGATACAGATACAGATACAGATACAGATACAGATACAGATACAGATACAGATACAGATACAGATACAGATACAGATACAGATACAGATACAGATACAGATACAGATACAGATACAGATACAGATACAGATACAGATACAGATACAGATACAGATACAGATACAGATACAGATACAGATACAGATAGAGACAGATACTTTTCTACAGGATATCCTTAGGTAGAACAGAATCTTAAAGGAAGCTGGCCACGAAAAGATGAAGACACAAATAAAAGATAGAAATAAAATACAGATACAGATACAGATAAAGATACAGATAAAGATACAGATAAAGATACAGATATAGATACAGATACAGATACAGATACAGATACAGATACAGATACAGATACAGATACAGATACAGATACAGATACAGTTACAGATACAGATGCAGATAGAGACAGATACTTTTCTACAGGATATCCTTTAGTAGAACAGAATCTTAAAGGAAGCTGGCCACGAAAAGATGAAGACACAAATAAAAGATAGAAATAAAATACAGATACAGATACAGATAAAGATACAGATAAAGATACAGATAAAGATACAGATATAGATACAGATACAGATACAGATACAGATACAGATAGAGACAGATACTTTTCTACAGGATATCCTTTAGTAGAACAGA